CATGTATGTAGTCTCCTTCATGTACCTGGTAGGCATGCCGAGTATGTAGTCTCCTCCATGTACTTGGTATGCATGTCATGTATGTAGTCTCATTCATGTACTTGATAAGCATGTCGCGATAAGCACTTTTGAACTGTGTAGTGTAGTTAGAGTCGCATGGTATGTAGCGAGTCTGCCTGTAGTGGAGAGGCGATAGTTCAATCACGAGTTCGAATCCTATGATTCATGGTGTTATATGTGTGTTTATTTACATGTACATTTATTATTCTCCCAGGTGACCATGGTCATCTGTTCGCCTGGGTAGGTAGTGGCATGCAGTGAATGTCTACTCGTCAATTTACTAGATAGAATGAAATAGATATCGATTAATCACTGTGCTAAATCGCAACAAGCAATGGATTTAAAATGTTCCATATACTTGGTAGAGCATTTACTATATAAGTGGTACAATATGTGTCTTTACTCTATTCTTGGAATAGGACTACCATATCCAAGATATAATCTGTTTTCAAAATGGCTGGAGTTAAATGATGAAACAAGAGTTGATTCTACACCAAGTCAATATCTATCTGAGATAAACGAAGTTAAACTGTTGCTTGGTAAGTTATATGATATGATTCTATCATCAGTGATACACATATTCTTTGAAGTGCTGACAATTGGTACAATTATTAACATAGAATTTCTGTTTTAGGGTTATCGACACTGGTTTGTGAAATTGGTTGTAGCTCTGGCACCGGATTGTGTCGTTTAGCTACAGACTATGTCAACCCGCGATATTATGGTATCGATATTTCCCAATCCGCTATTAAAACTGCAAAATCACGGGCAGAGACAGCTAATCTAAGCAACGTCACCTTTTGTTGTGCCGATGCCACAAGTTTACCGGATGACTGGGAAGCTAAATTCGATGTGGTGTATTGTATGGACGTGGTCCATGATGTACCTCGACCTGACTTTTAAAGGAAATCCACCGCATCTTGAAAAAAGGTGGATTTTTCATCATGGTGGATATTAATAGTCACACCAAGTTAGCTGATAATATGGCTCTACCTTTCTCATCTGTGAACTACATGTTTGGTTTATTTGCCTGCATGCCAATGTCACTGTATGCAGATGGTTGGGGTCTTGGGCCAATGTGGGGCCAGGAAAAAGCGTATGAAATGCTAACCAAAGCACATTTTGAGTGTTTGTCAATCTCTGCATTGAGTCCGCCATTTTTAATTTATGTAAACAAAAAAATCTGTTAAGGTAAACGCATCTCATAAACTTTCAGTAAACCCAAATATATGTATGTTTACCTGACTATACCTAAATAATTATTTATAACAACCCAACACAAAGTAAAAATTTATAAAAGTGAGTGTTATTTTGTTCAATAACGAAAGTAAACAAATATATCTATCATTAACATATTATACCTAAATAACAACCAAAAGATGAAAGTAGGCAATGCACCTGCTAAATATTCTCCCATGTAAAGTAAATCTTTTAATTACAGTTGTGGTGGTGTGACATCATGTCCAAAATTAAATCATAGAAAGTGTAGAAAGAACTCCTGTGGGTGGAGAGTATAGGAGACACATTTAAAATACATTCCAAATTTTAGATTATCCTCTTAAACAGAGAGCTTTGCAACTAATATTTGTCTGCTACTTGAGATTCACAACATGGAAATACTGTGATCTGCTATTAATAATTATATGGTCAATACAAATGTTTATCAATATTTAACTGATCACGTTTGTGGATTACATCAGAGCATATGTTAACCAAATTTCAACAAACTTGAAAATAGAAATACATACATGGAAATGGTGCAACGTCTTTTTGTTCAAATTTACGTGTGAAGATACTAAAATGCGACCATTATCACGCATGGAAATGATGAATATGTTAAAAATATATTTATATGCTAAATTGTATATTCGATATCGGCTGACCTGTAACTACAATATAATATAGTTATACTCGCGTGGTCTCAAACACACATCTATCTTCAACCAAGAGATTTCTTCCACCTTTGCTTGGGTACGCGTTCCAGCATCCCAGTTTGTATTCGTATTTACATCATTGACTCTTTCATGATCACTACCAAATACACGGGATCTTCGACCAGTAGGCTGTCCAGTGGAAAGTCTATCACTTAGATTAAACAGATAAGAAAGAATGCATGCATTCTACAGTTCCTGTTAGTTATCAAACTTAAGGTATATAGTTCTGTTTATAGTAATATAGTTGAAACATAAGCATGATATGGACCCAGAAGCTGTTTTTTTAACATTAAAATGATTGACATTCATTCATCTCGCATATGGTCGTCAAATGAGTACTTGTCAATATTGAGAGACAGTGCTTTGGAACAGCATTAATTAAAACAAAATGACCATCGCCCGGCCATTTTGAATATATCTGTAGATCTATAACATGATGTATATAATGAATAATTAAAATTTGAACATAATCAGTCAAGCGTGTGAGAAATATTGCTCTAGAACCACATTCATTAAAACAAAATGGCAACCATTTGGCCATTTTGTATGAAGTGCAATGTCCAGGCATATCTACAATATAGTTCCGGACGCACACACACACGCGCAGAAGTCTGCATTTTCGGCATGTAGATAACAACCATGGAGGTATCCATGTTCTGTCTGGCACTCAGAGAAATGTCGGGCGTGTCAGTTTGTGATGTCCAATACATCAACATAGATATACTAATACCTCTTGATATCTGCAACCCTACTATAACATCACTCCATCATTATATGATGTTTTTTTTACAAATTGGGGAAAATCACTTAGCATTCGTAGCATCTCGGCTGGAATATAGTGATTATTTTTTAGTATCACAGAATCAGTTGGGAAAAATGAATCATCTTGAAAATGCTGCAGCACGTCAACACCTCACCTGAACGACAATTGATTATATAGACATATAGACGAGAGGCAAAATTAAAAAAAATACTTTAGGGTGAACGGAATGTTAGGAGGTGTCATTCAAACTAGTTATTAACGTTGACCCAAACTGAATACATTTAGAACCTAGATGACACTATAATTATGCAAATTAGAGCAAATTCAAATTGGAAAATGGGTTGTGACCATGGGTTGTGTGTTTATTGAAAAATGTTCCTGTGTACAACAAGTGTTACGTGAAGAATGGTACAGACCAGACACATCTGCTACTGAATAAGCAAATGAAAGACATAGCATTGGTACTCAAACACATGTATAACAATAGGAGCAAATCAGTGCCTTGAAGAAGTCGTTTTAAGCAGAATGTCAACCAGGATGTCAATAATCTATGTAGTGTAGACCTTATACACGATGGGGGAGCAGTGTATCTTGCAAATGTAATGCAGCTAGAACTGCTCATCACGTACTCATCCTGGTATACATAGTGAGTTTCTTCTTGCACACTTTGTTTTGTGCAAGACATCATACAACGCATTTAATCAGCTATCCACTGACCACTAAGGCAGGCACTAGAATATTTAAATAAAACAATAAAGTCGCTGGCTGGTGGTCTCATT